ACGACTGAAATTTTACGTTTATAATCGTAGCAACAGACCTCAGATGAGCCCAGACGCTCTGCGGCTCTTTTTTATAGTTATATTATTCTAAGAACTGTATATTTTTGTTTTGAGTTTAGTGAAACTAGCTTCAAAAAATGTAAAATAGTGACAGTATTATTGTTATGCTGCATTTACACTATCGATTTTTGTCAGCAAATCGTCTGAGTCGTGCAAAATAGAACACGTTCTATTTCTCCATCTCGGCGACGTGATTCCGACTCCAACACAATCGAATTTCAGCCGATTAGTTGGAATGCACTTGGGTCAAATCGAGGGGCAAGTTGGAATGTACTTGAAATCGCTACGATTTGCTGACAAAAATCGATAGTGTAAACGCAGCTTTAATATGTAAAATGATTGATTTTAGGAAAATTGTGTTAGGCTATACACCAGATGTTTTGACAGATGCAACAGCAGAACTCACTGTTGCTATACTACTTGCTTCTGCGCGTAGGATTTTAGAGGCAGCACATGAGGTTAAAAGGTATTTCTAATTGTCTACAATTAAGTAAATATCTAGTAATACGGAGATGAAATGGTTGCTCATATGTTGTTGCATATATTGCATATGTGCATATGTTGTAACATATATATGTTATATGTTCATGGTTGTGTAGTTTTTCACTCATGTAACGTAAGTGAAGGCCACAAAAACTACATTCTAAAATTCTTCTCAGAACTGATTTTGTATTTCTATTTGTTCTATTTTGTGTGTTGGCTGTTTTTAATTAAATCTCAATTTATAATATTGAGATTATCCTGTAGGCCTATAGGCTATATCCATATGTGTTTTTAAATTCAATCTTTTGTAGTGGTGGCTGGGGAAGCTGGCAACCTCTGTGGATGTGCGGTAAAGGATTAAAAGAATCTACTGTTGGCGTAGTTGGAGCTGGAAGGATAGGTATGGTTCCAGGTTATTGAGAATGAAATTATCAAGTGGAATAATTAAACAAATAGTTACTTACTGTATACACTGTATATTTCGTGGTGGTTTAATTTTCGTGAATTTCACGAACGCAAAATAACAACACGCGGTTCTTCACTGATTCGGGAATTCCCCGACCGCGAATTAACCACTCACGAAATTGTCCGTCGAGTCTGAATTATGGCGTATACAGTAGTGTATTTTATAAGAATTAATTATAATTATTATGCAATAAAATGCAACAATCGAAACAATAGAACGTTGTTATCCCCGGATTGTTATATATTTTTACTGCAAACAACTACAGTGTAAATGAGCAGGGTGATGTTGATAACGTGTCTAGTCAAATGCACAGGAGAGACAACAAACACGAGCTGCCATTAAAAGTGCATTCTTGGTAAAATCCCGTGATTTGACACGTTATCAACATGGTGGCAGCGGTGGGGTTACTATGGCTTCTCCCTTCACAATAATAATGCTGTCCTATACACTGAGAGAATCTCTGATGTCAAAATATGGTTTGCAACAGTCTGAGACATTTGCCTTTGCTTCACACCATCCAGTCTCTATCAAATCACTCAGTGCTTGTAGTTCACTGTCAGAGATTGTCGCTGCACGAATTTATGTTCGTCTCGTATCTGAAATATCATCATTGACCTCGACACACATAATTGTAGGTTGGTAAACAGGGTCTTCCTTCCTGTATTCTCTGCTGAGGCAATCAACAATGACGACTGAGGTTCCTTTTTAGGAAGTGAAATTCGCTGTCATGGCGATACAGCTTCATCATTATATCTTGCAGGCGTCGAGGAGTGCTGTTAATTGGTTTACGTAGGATGGATTCCAGGGGTTTGTGATTATTTTCCATTATAACTTTGCATCTGTAACAGGGTTGTAGCCAGGACAATTTTAGTGCCGGCTAATATCAGTGATTGCGAGCGTAGTGAGCGGAGCGAACGGAGCGCAGTGGTTCATGGCTGGGGGTCCAGGGGCCCGCATTTACGCATTTTATGCATAATTATTGTTGAGATTAAACTGAGTTGTTTTTTAAATTAATTCTAAGTGTATCAGTTGTGATTATTTGTAGATAGCTCAATATTTTAAAGGTAATTTTACACAAACTCAATCATTTTTGTGCCGGTCCGAAGGATATTATTTAAAGCTGCACGCCGGTCGGCCAACACCAGAGCCGGCTATTACTGACCGGCTCTGACCGGCGTAGCTACAACGGTGATCTGTAAGTGTACTGTAAGTGTGACACCGTAAAGAATCGTGAGAGCTTCTTTCTCTATTTGTGCCCACTTGCGTTCCGATGTCGTCAGAGCATCAGCACCTAGTCCATGCTTGCTACTGTTCACCTTTAGGACGAGTTCCTTAGAAGTATCGAAATACACTAGTACTGGTGTATTGGGGAGTTTCTCATCCACAGTAGTGGAATGCTTGTTCACACTCTAAAGTCAAATTAAAGTCACTTTACTTGTGCGTCAGCACACGCAGTGGTTCTAGCATTACAGAGAGACCCAGCATTAATATTGTCATGTATTGGACCATTCCACAGAATCTTCTCAGACCAGCCACGTCAGTTGGGTTGGGCATCTGACAATAGCTGCTATCTTCTGAGGCCCTGGTTTGAGCCATCAGTCTCTTTGTAGGCATGGGTTCGAATCCCACCACTGCCACCATGTTGATGACGTGTCGAGTCACAGGCTTTTTCCAGGAATACGTTGTTAATGGCAGTTCGCATTTGTTGTCTCTTCTGTGTATTTTCCTCTGAAATCCCGTGACTCGACATGATGTGATTAACAGGAATTTACTCCCAGGTTGAACGCACACAATTGAATTGACGCATAACTGTGTATAGATAGATGTACAACACTAAACACACTAAACATAACACAGTCAACACAGCAAACGAGGAGACGTCTTACATTCTAGTCCTGTTAAAATGCAGCCTACCTCTATACGGAGATACAAGATAGTCATTATACCTAAGTTCAAGTGTAAAACAAAATTGCGCATCTAATTCTAAGCAGCTATCAACAACTACCAATCTCTGTGAAGCCAGATTTTTTATTGGTTATATGATCCCACGAATCCCTAAAGGTATGATGACGAGTGACCTCTGTAAACAGTCTGTAATCATGCTTCTTTATCTGGTCACGTCACGTGTTGTATTCACAAGCTTTACAATTAGGGTCAGCCATGTCTGGTTGTGAAATGTAGTAATCATACTTTATAAAAAGAATGCGAGGATTTGGCAAAAAAATTGTTGGTCAAAGCTGTTGGAATTGCTCACACCAAAACAAGCCTATCTCTAACTGTGGGGGTCACGTTTCTAGGAAATGGTGTGGTTATAGATTTTAAAACAATCTTCTTTCTCCCCCTCGATCCTTTACATAATCCAGTGCATATCCGATTATCTCCTTTCTCTATCTCTTTCTCTCACTCTCGTTTACCTCTGCTGCAGAATTTTAAAATTGCTATCATAAATGAAGAAATTGTAAAGAAATAGTAAACCGTTAATGTTTGAATTCTGTGATTGGAATGGAAAATGCGTGGTTGGATAGGGATTACTGTTTCTCCGTTTGAAGAGAAGTTCTTTCTGTGTCTAGTAAGAAGCAGTTTTGCATATAATAAGTGGTATAGTAAATAACGTACGGTAATGAAAATAGTGGCAACAATGGGAAAAAGTCTTCATTGATATAAAAAATTAATATTAAATAAATATTTTCGTGTAGGTCAAGGCGTCATAGATCGGTTGAAGCCTTTCAAGGTATCGAAATTCCTTTACTGCAATAGGAATAGGAATTCAGAAGGTAATGGTTGTTTCAGTTATTGTATGTGATTTATAATTAATGCATTGATGGTAATATAATGTGCCATAGAATAAACCAAATTTACGTTTGTATATTAGGTTCTATATATGGTATCAGACTTTTTATGGTCATAGAAGTGTCTTGACTCGAAAGACGAAAGAAATATAAAAAATGTATTATATGGCTGCCAAAGTTTTTCTCTGATTATCCTTCAGAGTCATGGAAGTAGCCCTCATTAGTTGCATCATACAATTTACATTGTGCTGAGACTCTTCATTATTGTTATAATTTAAGCTTTACAATTTCAAACAATAAAATGCACACAGAAGAAAACGCAATGGGGAAACAAGCAATCATTTAGGAAAGCTCAACCACCATACAGTTATTGACGAAACTGTCATGCTGTCATACACGTAATGTACGCAGCGTAAGGCTATGCGACATGCTCGTCATTACAGTGGAAGCAAAGGGGCCGAGCACGTGCCACTGAACAGACTTATGAAGGAGTCTGACTTTGTGGTCGCCTGCTGTGCGTCAACACCAGAAACCCATAAGATGTTCAACAGAGAAGCATTCGCACAGATGAAGTCTGATGCAGTCTTCGTGAACACCAGCCGGTGAGTTACAGCTGCAGTGTTCGTGAACACCAGCCGGTTGGAGTTACAGCTGCAGGCTGTTCGTGAACACCAGCTGGTGAGTTACAGGTGCATGTCTTCGTGGAACACCCAAGCTGGTTGAGGTTTACAGCTGTAGTGTTTCGGTGAACACCAGCCGGTGAGTTACAGCTCGCATTCAGTGTTCGTGAACAGCCAGCCGTGAGTGTTACAGCTGCAGTGTTCGTGAACACCAGCTGGTGAGTTACAGCTGCATTCTTCGTGAAACAGCCGAGCTGGAGTGAGCAGGCTGCGGTGGTTCGTGAACGGCGCAGTCTGGTGAGTTACAGCTGCAGTGTTCGTGTAACGCCAGCTGGTGAGTTAACCAGCTGCAGTCTTAGTGAACACGCCAGCTGGTGCGAGCGGTTACACGGGCGAGTGTGCGTGAACCCGAGGTGGTGGAGGGTACAGCTGCGAAGTGCGGTGGAACACCGAGCGCGAGTGAGTTATGCTGTCAGTGTTCGTAGAGTACAAGCAGCTGGTGAGTATCAGAAACAGGGCGTGCAGCGTGGGTTCGCGGTGGGGGCGTGGACACCAGCTGTTGGGAGTTAGCGCTGGCCAGGTCGTCTCGTGAACGCCGAAGCAGTTGACTTTACCAGCCGTGGAAACATCAATGCCATGAGTATTTCGTACCGAGTATACGTACCCGAGAGTACGCCGAGTAGATACGTACCCGAGTAGTAGTGCGGTACCCGAGTAGTACGTACCCGAGTAGTACGTACCCGAGTAGTACGTACCCGAGTAGTACCCGAGTAGTACGTACCCGAGTAGTACCCGAGTAGTACGTACCCGAGTAGTACGTACCCGAGTAGTACCCGAGTAGTACGTACCCGAGTAGCTAACGCCGGAGTAAGTACGTACCACGAGGTAGATACCCGAGTAGTACGTACTCCGAGTAGTGACTACGCCGAGTAGTACCGACGTCGAGTATACCCGAGTAGTTCACCTGAGTAGGTACGTACAGCCGAGTGTACGTACCGGCCGAGTAGTAACCCGAGTAGTACCGCGAGTATACGTACCCTGAGTAGTAGCCGCGAGTATTACCCGATAAGTACGTACCCGAGTAGTAGCGTACCGGGGCGAGGTAGTACCCGAGTAGTACCCGAGTCAGATACGTACGCCGACGTAGTACGTACCGAGGTAGTACGTACCCGAGTAGTGACCCGAGTAGTAACGCCCGAGTAGTACGTACCACGTAGTACGTACCCGAGTAGTAACGTACGCCGAGTAAGTACCGAGTAGTACCCCGAGTAGACCGAGTGTACGTACCCGAGATTTGGTCCCGAGTAGTACGTACCCGAGTAGTACCCGAGTAGTACCCGAGTAGTACCCGAGTAGTACGTACCCGAGTAGTACCCGAGTAGTACCCGAGTAGTACGTACCCGAGTAGTACGTACCCGAGTAGTACGTACCCGAGTAGTACGTACCCGAAGTGTAACCCGAGTAGACGTACCCGAGTAAGTACGTCACCCGAGTAGTACGGTACCGCGAGTAGTACCCAGAGTAGTACGCGAGAGTAAGTAACCGTGAGTAGTACGACCCGAGTAGGTAAGGCGTACCCCGAGTAGTACCCGAGTAAGTACCCGAGTAGTACCCCGAGTAGTACGTACCCCGAGTAGTACTACCCGAGTAGTATCCGAGTAGTACGATACGCCGAGTAGTAGCGTTACCCGAGTAGGGTACCCGAGTAGTACGTACCGCCGGTAGTTACGTACCCCGAGTATTACTACCCGAGTACAGTACGTACCTCGAGTAGTACCCGAAGTAGTCCCGAGTAGTACGCCGAGTAGTTACGTAACCCGAGTAGTAGACTACCCGAGTAGTACGTACCCGAGTAGTACCCGAAGTAGTACCGATTTATTATAGTACGTACCGCGGAGTAGTACCCGAGTAGTAACGCCGAGTTAATACGTACCTCGAGTAGTACGTACCGTCCGAAGTAGTACCCGAGTATACCGGCGACCGTAGTACGTACCCATAGTACGTACGACCGGAGTAGTACGTACCGAGAGTGAGTACGTACTCCGAGTAGTCGTACCCGAGTAGTACGTACCCCCGAGTAGTAACGTCGCGAGGTAGTACCCCGAGTAGGGTAACGTACCCGAGTAGTACGTACCCGAGTAGTACGTACCCGAGTAGTACGTACCCGAGTAGTACGTACCCGAGTAGTACGTACCCGAGTAGTACGTACCCGAGTAGTATCGTAACCCAGGAGAGTAGTACGTACCCGAGTAGTACGTACCCGAGTAGTACCCGAGTAGTACGTACCCGAGTAGTACGTACCCGAGTAGTACGTACCCGAGTAGTACGTACCCGAGTAAAGTACGTACCCGAGTATACTACGCCGAGTAGTACGCCGAGTAGATACCGAGTAGTAGCTACCCGAGTAGTACGTACACGAGTAGCTACGTACGCCGAGTAGTACGTACGCCGAGTAGTACGTACCCAGGAGTAGTACCGAAGTACCAGAGTCTACCGCCGAGTAGTACGTTACCCCGAGGTAGTTAACGTCCCGAGTAGTGCGTTCACGCAGCGTACACGTATTTGAAATGATTAGCTGCTGAAGTAGCAGGTTTCAGCTGAGATTTAAATTCGGAAACCACTTGTTGTCTTAGGTACAACTTAAAACGTGGCTCCGCTGACTAGTCTCAGTAGCAATTCGCACAGAAGATTACCATACAAAGTCAGATGAAAATCTGAGTGCAAATATCTCCGGTGAAGACTTTCTGTTATATGGCTCTGTAATGTACAGGGGACCGTGGTTGACGACAGTCTGCTTCTGATGAGGCTCTACGGACGCCGTGATAGGAGCTGGCTGTCAATAGATGTGACAGATCCAGAACGGCTGGCCAATAGATTATCCACTACTTACACTCAAAATTGTGTGTATGTACAACCCATTGCATTCTAGTTTAGAGTTGTTAAATAGTAAATTGCACGAACTAAGAAAACACCAGACATTCCTAAGCTTAAAATTATTATCTGTAAAATTAGCTACTAGACTGGTAGTTCTTTGACGTTGTAGTAGATTTGCCTGCTCAGCTGCTTTGGCTTTTTCGTATCACTTATTAGGGTCTCATTTCAAAGCGGCTAATATGAAAGAGCCTATTTTATTTACTGCTAACCCTTCTTACGGGAGGATGATGTGAAAGGTAAACTGTGTGCACATACACTCATAGATAGCCGCTGTTTTCTTTTTCTGTTGTAGAACTTTTGCAGTGGTGCTCAGGCGTTAACATACTACTACCCTAGTAATCATGTGAGCGGGTAGCTATCGTGTTAAATCACAAAGCTGTAACACAGACTAGTTGCTTCACTGTTAGCAGTGGTGCTACCCACATTGGCAGCGCAGTAGTGCAGACACGTGGGCGGCAAGCCAACATGGTTCTAGCCTAACAGCACGTAACATCTTGCTAGGGCTCCGAGGCCAACCAAATGCCGAAGTGCATTCAACGTTTGGAGCAAAAAGCTGGCAAGGATGGCAATAAACTCTCATCTTTAGTACAGCTGGGCATTGATGTGAATTATGGTTGTGTGTGTGTGCGTGCTGGCGTACGTACTGTGCTACATATGCTATGAGTTAAAAACCAAATGCTATTTTCCGTTTTGTTCAAAACTACCAAAACTAGGACTTGCAATATGGGATAAAGGTCAGAGCTGTGATGATTATCCAATGTGACTGTACGTGCCAAATAAAGGTCACTACTAAGTGACACACAGAGACAGTCTTGAGCTATATTTCCTCATTAATTATCGAATCGACATAGGCCGTAACTAGTTCTGTATTAATTTCAGTAGGAAACTTAACTCTAGTTTTACCGAATTGTACTTTAAGCTACAAGTGAGAACAGTTCGCATTTTCTGGTTTGGCATTTTGGGCAATTTTTGGAAGACTGATAGGGTTGTATATGAGTACTTGTATAATCCAGCGAAGGTTTGTAATTAACCATCAGAGCCAAATCTAGGTTTATACTTTGGAAATGATAATTAAATGTAATGAGATATTGTGAAGCTTGGATAAATCGGCATAATAACCCGTTTTTAGCTCACGCTTGAACGTCAAGATGAGTTTGCATGGGTCGCCGTGCCCGTCGTACGTCCGTCCGTCCCGTCTTCCTGTTCAACATTTGGCTACGTCAACGATAACCAGGAATCCGTTTAACCCACATGTTTGAAAATGTATAGTTTGTTACTGCTATGGACGAGGTTTGAAACGTCCTATTTTGGAAGCACGCCAGTCGCGTAACTTTCGAGGCCACGGCAATTTTTTGGCAAAAATGAAATTGCCATTACTCTCGGCATCTAGTCAAGTTCAGGTTCAACGGATTTTGCTCATTTTTTGTAATGTGAAGTGACTAAGGGCTGGCCGCCAAAACGTATGAGCAGGCTTTACTGATATTTAAAATAAATTATGCTAATTAAGGTAGTTTTGGGCAATAACAGTCCTCTGGTGTCACACTCGCGGTTCGTTTTACAAATTTCATTGACAATATCTTAATGCAAAAGTTGGTTATTTCCTCTCCACCTCTGCCGTAAAAACGTTATATACTATTAGGGTAAACGTTTTACAAACATGTGGAACGCAGCAATACAGCTATCTATTTTGAACGCCATCGCTAGAAAACATCAAGCGGCGTAAAGCGCTCCATCCCAGATGAAGACGGATACAGAGAAAGCGTTGCCCGAAAGGAGTATGTTGATCCAGCCAATGCGCTGAATGCGCAGATCTTTCGCGCAGTTTACGCGGCAGGAGGCGCACGAGGCGACGCGGACAGTCACGCTACGACAGTAGGCAGCGCTGGCAGCTAGGATGCCGTGCGCCGAATGATGGCCGGCGCACGGATCCATACTGCCAGCGAGAAACAGTCCGCAATTTAGTGGGGGAACACAGAGGGTAGACATTGGACGTCAACAGTGTTGACTTCTAATAAAAACTGTAACCGAGTAATTCTGTTCGTAAGGCCGAGCTGTGTGACGGCGAAATCAGAGAAGACTCGTCCGCAAATCTGAGCATTCGCGAACCTTGCACCAGTAATGCAAACGCTCGTCAGACATCACGAAAACAGCCTACCGGCGCTTCGCGCCACAACGCTGCAACGTCTTTTGCACGTTCCAATGGACGAGGCTCGTACGGGAGTTTGAAAGCAGTGCGCGCCTGCCCGCCGCCTATAGCCACAAGACTGGCACTCTCTCGCACCTCTCGGCTAGCTTAGTCACTGAAATGGCTAATCGAGGGGGAGACAGAGTCCTAGTCTAGTGTATAGCCTTGCACCTCGCAACCT